TTGCCAGCATTATACTGTTAATTATACAGTACCCTTACTGTAATCAACTTTACAGTATATTACTGTCACAAAAGAAATCTTTTGTGCAGCAGTGTTGCCAGTATATTACCGTTTTTCTATGGTTACATTACTGTTGAATTCACATACAGCTTACTACTGTAAATTTCCAATATAAAATAGAAACATGAAAAAAAAAAAACACTTAGAAAATGTAAGTTCCATCATGTCAAACATTTATTTGGGAAAAAAAGAACCAACTCAAACATCGACTCACACGGTGTTTAGTGGGCCACATAATAAAGACGAAGGTTTTGAAACGACAACGTATGTGTGCCTTAAACCTAAACCTTTTCTACAAGAATGTTGAGGGTAAACTGTCCAAAGTAAGTCAGATTCTGGAACAACAGTAAGAAAATCACCATCTATTTTGTGAAATAAATTTCTTAACTGATGTAAAGAGTATTTGAATAAAGCATGAATTGTGGCCTTTTGATTAGTCTGAAATAAAATAAGTATGAAATAAATTATGGAAATAATGCATTGTACAACTCAGCACACTACTTTTTCAATACAAAATATGACTTTTTGTGGAAGTGAGGAACAATATGATGCAACATAAACATTTAACTTTCAATCTAAAGCATAGAAAAAATTTGCACATTTTAGTTTGATAAAAATTTAAATGAAACATTTAGACTTGAATTTCCTTTAGGGCAAAATCAGAGCTCCAACTTCAGATGATAAAACAATGAAACAATATTAGACAAGATAAGTTAAACATGGTGCCTGTACAGTCAAAATTACATCTGAAGAACAGAAAGTGGGAGCCTTAACAACATTTATGCTCTTAATTAAAAGAGATGTCTTCAGATTATGCTGACCTTTAAACCAAAAACATCTCTCAAGAACACTCCTGTTCAGGGATAAGTTGCCTTCATGCCTGGATAGTTTTTTGTTTGCTTGTTTTTGCGTGGAGGGGCAACAATATCTATAGCTTGGTTAGAAAGTTCTCACTATGAAATTCCACTCAAAGTCCATGAGGTTTTTCAGCAGAGTTGAAACACGGGGGATGACAGTGACCGACTTCTTTTGAAAAGTTTTTCCTGTCCTCTTGGAGATGATCTTGCTACAGCTGGACTTGGTCCCTCAGGGTTGAGATCAAGAAAGCGCCTGAAAGTGCAGTAATTTCAGATTAGCATATGATGCTTAAGGAGTCAGCGTTTAATGTGTGCTAGATGAAGACAAACTTTTGAATGTTAAGAGTTAATAAAGAGACACCAGCATAACATTTAAACAGTTTTCTGCCAAGTCAACTCTGTGAAACTCCAAATTCCCAGTTGATATCCATTCACCAATTTCACTTTAGCAGCTAATCATAACAATTCAAGTCAAATTACACAAAAGAAAGAAAAAGAGCTTCCAAACATGTCAGTATTTGTAAATATGAATCATCAAAAATAACTTACCTTAGGATTGGCTCATAAAATGCAGGATTCAAATGGATAGTCCTTAAAGAAAGTTCTAGAGGTTGTTCCACATGTCACAACAACATGTCTTCTTCAGAAATACAGTAGCGTTCTGTTTAAAGAGCCTCCTTACTGTTGAATCTAACATCATTCCCACAATGCAATGCTACTCACAGTATACTACAGTATTTTATTAAAAACAGTAATAATTGCCCAGAATGCATTGTTTTTACGGTGCAGTGCCGTTTTCAATAGAAACAGTTTGATACTGTTCAGTTTTGGACGTTTTTTACAGCAATTTGTTAGTCTATCTATCTATCTATCTGTCTGTCTGTCTGTCTGTCTGTCCAGCAGAGTGAGAATAAGTTGGACAGTAACCAGTTACTTTAGTGACTTTTTTGAACAAAGATTACTTTTAGGAGTATTTTTAATATACTTTTTGCTTTTATTTGAGTGATTTTACTCCACAGTGTTTCTACTCTGAGTGGAGTAACATTTGAGGATTTTCCACCCACTAAATGAAAAACAAACATGTTTTGATAAAAAGAAAATAATGACACTGCAGTTTTTCTAAGTCCAGTTCTAATTGTTAGTTTCTGAGCCAAATAAACAGGATGTTTGACACAAACAGGCACATTTATGATTTTTCACAATTTTGTTAAAGATGAAGTTGGAAAATAATAAAAGTATGACACGGATCTTCAGTTTAACGCGTCAGTGCTGCAGCTGCAGTGCTGCAGCCGCCTGTGCTGCAGCGCCGGCCGTTGCACACAAACCGTTTCCTTCCAACCGCCAGCAGGACGGCCGCCATTTTGAGCGCAGGCTCGATGCGTGTGCGGTTCTTCAGGTTCAACGTGGACATTCAGGGCGGTTTAGCCGCAGACCCGCTGCGCCATGGCTGCGGCTGCTGGTCTCTCCCTCCTGGTGCTGATGGCGCTGCCGGCCGCGCAGAACCAGCCCCGTTACTATGAGGTCGGCAAGTCGGTCCATTTGGACCCAGCTTTCACCCAGCCCATCACCTACATCGCCTGGAAGTTCAACAAGAGCTTTGCAGCCGAATACTACAAGAAAACAGGTATCATGGGCTATCGGAATCCGTTCAAAGGCCGAGCAGAACTGGACACGAACACCGCATCTCTGACCATCCGCGACCTGAGGACCACTGACCGCGGGTGTTCACGGTGGCCATCAACGAGAAGGAGATTCCTGGCAGCTATCACATCGTGGTGGTCAGGAGGCTGGACGACTACCCTGTACAGGTCACCGTGAGGCCGCGGGGCTGCAGCAGTCAAACCTCCAGGACCTGCACCCTGGTCTGTGGGGAAAACTTTGCAGATGCCGAACCCGTCCAGTACTTCTGGAAGAAAGAAAACCAGCAGTGGACGGAGGGCAATAAGACCATCACCGTTTCTGTTTTCAACAACACCCAGAGCTTTCCACGCTACACCTGCAAAGTGAAGAATCTGTTCAGCGAGAAGGAGAGCGACCCGACAGCGGACCCCTTCAGGAAGCCCAGCAGCTGCGGTCCCGGTCCCGGTCCCGGTCCCGGTCCCGGCCCGCGGACCGCGCTCCTGCTGCTGGCCCTTTTAGCGGCCGGACCGGCACTTACCGTCTGACTGGTCAAGAAGCGCCATTTGTTCAAAGTCTTTTTGGTTTACATCGTGAAAAATAATATAAAAACAAATTAATTTCAAAAATAAGTTTATTTTTCCCAAAAGGTAAATTGCGCAATAGGTTATGCAGTTTAAGTTATTAAACATCACATATGTAAACATATATATATTGTTAGGGGAAATGGACGAGTTATGAATTTGAGAGCTGTCTGGGAAATAAAAACAAACTATAAATAAAACTAATTCCTGTTGTCTCCTTCGTGGTTTTCGTCAGTAGTAACGTCCAGCTGTTGATCAGCTGACTCGTGTGACGCAAAAAAGTATTTCTATTGCAGTAAATATATTCATATTGATACCGTAAACAACCTAAGCCTAGCGCATTTTAATCCTAAACGTATATTTTTGTCCCAATATTTTCTTGTTTCCATTAAGTGAATTATTTTTGCAATATCAATTTGCACAGTTCTATTGTTGGCGCAGCTTAATAGGATGCTGTCAGTACTGTTGAAATAAAATTTTTAATTAGCACAATACTGCACAGGATAGATGCATATGAAATATACCATAGAAAGTTAGAGTACACTCTACGTTCACATAAATTTAGATAAAGATCAAAACTAAAACAACTGGCCAGTTTCGGAGTTGACATAAATTCTATAGGGAGGATCTTAAAGAAAGACAGACTGAGATTCCTTCAATCTCTATAGACATGGAGTCTGTCTGCCAGGCAATTAACAAATTCCTTAGTGTGGTTCAGAAGTTCACTAGGAGCTTAAAACTTTTTACAAATAATTTTATCCATACTAGAATTAAATATATATAAGGGCTGTTCTTTAAGTATTAAGACAACATGTTTTAAAGTAGTTATTTTGTAATACTATTTGCATGCATTTTATATAATAGATTCAGAAAACCACTTTATAATATTTCTGATATTTACAAAAAGAGTTCTTCTTTAAGAAAAACACACTTTAGTTCTTAGATCCAAACTTATAGTCATTATTTAGCATTAGATTTTGTGCAAGCTTGTTAAAAATACAAACTACTTTCTTGTGGAATCATTTGAGGCAGAGAACGCTCCAGCTGCACGCTATAAATCAAGACCTGGGCAAGAGCCTGGTACTAGAAGATCTGGGTGTTTTTAACAGGCCCCAGAGGTAATAAAATCAATATTAAGACAGCACCCACAAAGGGAAGAACACACCTCCTAATGCATATATTTAAATTTAGAGAAAGACACAGTCATATAAAAGTTTTCGTTTACAACAGAGAATTTCGAATCGCTTGGTGCTGAGTGATGGTTCCCAAAAATGCATTTTTGAATCAGGTAATATTATGCTTTGTCATATGTTTGACTTCATAATAATCCGGGTGTAAATGGTGGTCTGTTATTCTGTGTGTATTTGAACTTTTTTTTATAAAGCTCTATTTGAATTCTGATGCCGTTTGATTGTTTTTCTCCCTGCATACACTTAGACTCAAGAATCCGAGACAAAAGGGGAAAAGTAACGAGCTAAATTAAGTTATTCCTCTTTTAAATTCCTAACAGTACCCAGAGCTGAACCAAACAAAACAGCAAACAGCAGTGAAAAGCGTCTCATTCATTTGACTCTGGTCTGTTTCCTGGGCTCCTCATTTGTTTGTCCAGTGCTCCTTCACGTCACTTCTTGAATAAGTTCATCTTCTTCACTCGCGCTGAACTGAAGCGAACTCGTGATTTGGCTCACATCAGTTTCAGACGCAACACATTGCGCTAAAACTTTGCACAACATTTAAATTAGCATGTCAGTTTGACTTCTCGTCTGTGTTGCTGTCCGTAGCTTTAGAATACAGAAAATGAACTATAGCTTCGGAGGAAGTGAACCCGGAAGTTGAAGAAGCTAACTATCTTGCTCGCGCAGCTCATCTTTGTGCGGCGATGCTAGCTAGCTTGGCTAGCAGCCCGCTCGGCTCGGCCTCGGTGGCATGGATATAGAGACTGCTTTCCACACGGTTGGAGAGTTTGGACCGTACCAGAAGCGGGCGGTCACCGTGCTGGTTCTGGCGCAGGTTTGTCACATTTAAATATTTATATTTTCACCGATTAAGTGCTAAAAACAGACAGGGAACTGTCTGCTAGCATTAGCCGCAGCGCTACGTGGCTGTCAGAATGAGCCCAAAACAAACATCCAAATATTGAAAACAAATATTCCAATAGTACTTCAGACTGTTGACGAATTTCCCACAAACCTATAAGGTCGTGTTGTTTGTAAGAATGGGTCAATTTATTCTGTCAGTTTTATGAAGGTTTCATACTGAAATGTGAGTTTATGAAGGTAAATAAAACCGATTTAAAGGTTTATTAACCAGCAGGACAGTTTCAGTCAAGAAGTTCTGATCCTTCCAACAATTGGTTTAACCTAAAAACAACTTGTATTAAGGCTCAGTGTCTTAAGTTAAAAAGCATAAAACTCTGGAAGAAAACTGGTTCTGCTGGTATGATGTTATTGATGTTGTGAGCAGTCAGTGTTGCAGTCAATCTGATGAAGCCTCTGACTGAAGAAAGTGGCAAGCACTGCTTTTGCTGCTCGTCTTTGAATCTGTATGGTTGGAGAAATGCTGGAGTAGGGGATATGTTCTGGCTTTCTGTGTTTCAGGTCTACATGGCCTGCCAGTCCATGCTGATCGTTCTGGTCGGATACACACCAGAGTATCGGGTCGAGAAGCAGGACGGCGGTCAGTCTGGCCATCGGGAGCTGCAGCAGCACGTCATCTTCACAGAGGATGTGGACTCCATCGTTACGGAGGTCTGCAGAGCCGAACGTCCGCAGACAGGAAGTCAAACACGGAGGCTTTAATGGGTTTCCTCCTGTCCCTGTGCGCCTCAGTGGGTCCTCATCAGACAGCAGGCCTATAAGGTCAGCCTGGCCGGGTCGCTGTTCTTCACCGGGCTGCTGGTGGGGAATGTCGTATTTGGGCCGCTCTCCGATCGGATCGGACGGAGGCCGGTCTACCTGACAGGTGAGGACAAAAGGGGATCAGGTTGGTTTTTCTTCAGTGTGAGCAGCAGGATCAGGGTCGCCTGTTGCTTTATCGATGCCTGAGGTTGTTGCGTTGCTCCGAGCTTGGAATGCTGTATCCCTGTGCTTGTATATGACTAGATGTATTAATAATTAAGACAAGTCTAATTACATTCTGACGACTATAAATGATTTATTATTAAGTTTAATGAAGGCTTCAATCCAAGACGTATACAATTAATTACTGACAATCTGAAGAATTTATTTCAGATATCAATAGTTAAATTATGCGCTTCCTCCAGGCTCTGTTGGGTTCCCTCCTCATGCTCCAACCTCTTTGCCCCCAGGTCTGTTCTTCGAGGTGATGTTCGGCTACCTCACCGCCCTGGCGCCCAGCTACGAGGTCTTCGCCGCCTCTCGGCTCCTGGTGGGGCTGATGAACGGCGGCATCGGCCTCGTCTGCTTCGTCCTCACCCAGGAGTATGTGGGGAAGTCCTACTGGGCCATGACTGGTACGCCGACCCGCTCGCTCCCCCTGCTGCCAGGCAGGACAGGACTCTGTCAGCTGCAGCTGCTTGTCTCTGCAGGGACGCTGACCAGCATGATCTTCGCCGTCGGCATCGCTCTGTTCGGAGCGCTGGGCTACTTCGTCCGTCCCTGGAGGACTCTGGCCATGGTGGCCAACTCCTCCGGCGTCCTGTTCTTCCTGCTGTCTGTGTGAGTAGAAACTCAGCTGCACAATCATTTCATTTCTCTTTGGAAGGAATAAAGTACTTTTGAATTTGAAATATAAACTTCCTTTTATAACAAGCTAAGAATTTATAAAGCTAAGCTACTATTTTGAATAAAATCTGTGATTTTTACTTTAAAAACTAAGGTTAGCATGAAGTTTAAAGGGGACCTATTATGTAAAATTCACATTTGAACATTTTTATACTTCCATTTGGGTCTGAATTGTTTCTAAACACATTCCAAGTGCTGGAAAAATGATGAAACACCTTCCAAAATCTACAACCCCAGAATAGCTTCGTCTGTTGCCTAGCAATCCAAACTAAGCTCCGGCATGTTTGGTCAGCTGGTTTTACTGCTGTACAATGGCTGCTGGAAACAAGAAGTGTTTTGCTGTTGACTTCTTACCCAGAAACAATTTGCTGCAGGTTCTATTGGTGCTTTTCAGGGATATACGTGGCTAGCAGTGACTGAGACCCAAAATAGCTCAAAATAGTCAGAACTGCGCAGATAAAACCTGAAGAATAATTTTGTACAAAAAATGAAACCGAATCTGTTCAGGGAAGCATAACGGGTCATCTGTAACTCCTTGTAAAGTCCTGACAGAGCTCTGAACCAAATCAACAGATTATTTCTGTAAAAACAAGGAAGTTAACCTAAGTTAACCTTTGGGGCTTTTAAATCTGCAGAGTTTAAAAGCCCCAAAGTGTTACTTCTGATCTTCAGTGAAGTCATGAATGACGGCAGGGAGTGACTGAATTCAGGCTGGGGAATTCATCTAATCTGCTTTGGTTTCTGTTCAAAACTCCGTCATGAACTCAGGATTAAATCCTCTGCAGGTAGTGAAACTAATCTGGGCTTTCCTGTCCAGCGTGAGAGTTCCCCAACCTAAACAATAACAGAGAGAGAGCGTGTTGGTCGCTGCAGCTCCAGGTCTGGAGTGGGAAGCAGCTGAAACGCTCCTCATTAAAAACTACAACTCTGGAGGAACAGATTTCTGAGATCCTCAGAGGGGAGATGAGCTTCTCTGAAGGTTTGATCTCCTTTAGAAACAATCAGTTCACAACTCAGTTCAGTTCAAAAATGCTTCAGATTAAATGCAGCTTAATAAAAAAGTATTCATACCCCTTTGATTTTTCCAGATTGTGTCACATTATAAACATAAATATATTCAAGTGGAATTTAATGTGACAGACCAACACAAAGTGGTGACTCTGAGGCAGAAAGAAAATTATACGATTCAAAACATTTTTTACAAATAAAACAAAGAAAAAAAACTGAAAGACAAAATATGGAAAAGTTTATTGGCTTTGAATACTTTTCTCTGCCAGTGTATTGTCAGAAAATCGACAAACATTGATGGTGGGAGATTTTTTAATGGAATGAAATCTGCAGATTAAATATCTGTTGTTGCTGATTAGTGCGTCCCGTCTGTGTTTTCCTACAGAAGTCTTCCAGAATCTCCTCGCTGGCTTTATTCTCAGGGACAGACGGAGCGAGCAGAAGAGGTAAGGACACCTGCACACGCATCGTGACATCACTTCCTGCACACGCATCGTGACATCACTTCCTGCACACGCATCGTGACATCACTTCCTCTGCACTAATGTCCGAGACATTGTTGTTTCGACATTTCCTCACTCTATAAGAAGAGCGGAGAGAATGAGGAGCGGCGATAGTTCCCAGCTGTCATTGAATGCAACAGTGGAAGTCCCAACATGGCCGCTGTTACCTCAGAACCCGACCGCTGGATCGGCGCGGTTCCGAAGTTGGGTGGGGAGTTTCCTGTGAGTTCTGTGGTTTTGGTCTGTGTCTAAAACTCTCTGCAGTCATCTGAGGGAGTGATGTCACTTCCTGTTTGAGATAAATTCATCTCTAATGTGATAATCTCTCTCTGAGGAGAGGCGGCTGCATCAGCTTCAGATTCTTCGTCGTGCTGCAAGGCATTATGGGAAGGACGTTCTCTCCGCCTCCTGAGGCGGATTCTGTCAGTGGATTCTGTCAGTAGATTCTGTCAGTGGATTCTGTCAGTGGATTCTGTCAGTGGATTCTGTCAGTAGATTCTGTCAGTGGATTCTGTCAGTGGATTCTGTCAGTGGATTCTGTCAGTAGATTCTGTCAGTGGATTCTGTCAGTAGATTCTGTCAGTGGATTCTGTCAGTGGATTCTGTCAGTGGATTCTGTCAGTGGATTCTGTCAGTGGATTCTGTCAGTGGATTCTGTCAGTGGATTCTGTCAGTGGATTCTGTCAGTGGATTCTGTCAGTGGATTCTGTCAGTGGATTCTGTCAGTGGATTCTGTCAGTGGATTCCAGCTCAAGTTAGAAATCATCCAACTGGAGCAGTTTAACTTCTGATCCAACATTGTTTATTTTAAGTTTCTATATTTTAGGGAGAACTCATATGGCCCGGTTTAAAGCTGGAGGTTTCGGGCCTGAGATCAGGCCGGATCCGTGATTAAAGTGATTTGGGTTCAGCGGTTCCATCAAAACAGTTTCTGAGGTTTTATAAAGTTGGGCTCAGATTTCATTTCTCTTCAGAACCAACCTGACGACTCTGCAGGTTTCTTGTTTTTATAGTTTAGCTGAACTATATTTTGTGACATGTTTGTGTTTTAATGTCAGGTTCTGCGCTACATGGCGGTGAGGAACGGCAGCAACGCCACCAACCTGGTCCTGCAGCGGGTCGGCGCCGCCAAGCCGGGCGGCCCGTTGAGGAGGCGGGGCGGCGTCCTGCAGCTGGCGGTCCATCCGGTCCTGCGGCTCAGGACCATGGTGCTCATGTACGTGTGGTGAGTATCGGACCGCCGGTTCTGTTCGGCCATTTTAACCTTCAGTCCAGATGAATGAACCTCTGAAGTGGAGCTGAGACAAGTTTCAGTTTTTGATTCAGGAAATCAGTTTTTATCTCTAAATATTTTAATTTCACTTTATAAAATTATGACTTTGTGTTATTAATGAGTTTTTATTGTATTACTTAAGGAGTTTATTCTTATTGCTTTTTCTTCTGTTACCATTTTTTCCTCATTTTGACTTTTTGTTTATTTCTCGTATTATTGAGATTTTATTCCAATAATCTGACTTTAGTCTTGAATCTGCGACTTTTTCTCCTTCAGACTTTTCTTGTGGTGATTTTGTCATATTTTATTCTGACTTTCATCTAATTACTTTTTGCATTATTTTTTATAATACAACTTTATTCTTGTATTATTGGGACCATTTTTCTCACAGTAATATTATTTGTTTTCTTCTGTAAATGTTTTTTATTTATAAATTAATTTATTTCCCAGCTAGCCTCCAGTTTTTTCTCTTCATGTTTTCTAGCAGATGGTTGGACTGAAACATGTTTAGGGTTCATCCGAGATGACATCATGATGTGTGACATGATGTCATCAGGGTGTGGATCTAAATGCTAAATGTCCTTTGAGACAAATAGTTTTTATCCAGGACAGGAAAGTTTTCCTTTAGCATTTATAAAGAGCTCCATCTGAGCTCAGTGTTCCTGATCTGATGTGTCTCTGTGTGTCTCTGTGTGTCTCTGTGTGTCTCTGTGTGTGTCTGTGTCTCTGTGTGTGTCTGTGTCTCTGTGTGTGTCTGTGTGTGTCTCTGTGTGTCTCTGTGTGTGTCTCTGTGTGTCTCTGTGTGTCTGTGTGTGTCTGTGTGTGTCTCTGTGTGTCTCTGTGTGTCTGTGTGTGTCTGTGTGTGTCTGTGTGTCTCTGTGTGTCTCTGTGTGTGTCTCTGTGTGTCTCTGTGTGTGTCTGTGTGTGTCTGTGTGTGTCTCTGTGTGTCTCTGTGTGTCTGTGTGTGTCTGTGTGTGTCTCTGTGTGTCTCTGTGTGTGTCTGTGTGTCTCTGTGTGTGTCTGTGTGTCTCTGTGTGTCTCTGTGTGTGTCTCTGTGTGTCTCTGTGTGTGTCTGTGTGTGTCTCTGTGTGTCTCTGTGTGTGTCTGTGTGTCTCTGTGTGTCTCTGTGTGTGTCTGTGTGTCTCTCTGTGTGTCTCTGTGTGTGTCTGTGTGTGTCTGTGTGTGTCTGTGTGTGTCTGTGTGTCTCTGTCTCTGTGTGTGTCTGTGTGTGTCTGTGTGTGTCTCTGTGTGTGTCTGTGTGTGTCTCTGTGTGTGTCTGTGTGTGTCTGTGTGTCTCTGTGTGTCTCTGTGTGTCTCTGTGTGTCTCTGTGTGTCTCTGTGTGTGTCTGTGTGTGTCTCTGTGTGTGTCTCTGTGTGTCTCTGTGTGTGTCTCTGTGTGTGTCTCTGTGTGTCTCTGTGTGTGTCTCTGTGTGTGTCTCTGTGTGTGTCTCTGTGTGTGCTGCAGGTACTGCTGCAGCCTGGTGTATTACGGCCTCACCCTGGGAGCCAGCGCCACGTCAGGGAGTCGCTTCGTTACCGTGGCCATGTACGGCCTGGTGGAGCTGCCGGCCTATCCGCTCTGCATCTATTTCATCAATAAGAGCTGGTGAGAGGCTGACGTCATGCTAACATTAGCCCTATAGCTCAATAACAAAACCCGTCAGAGATGTTTGGGCTCCTTCCTGATGGTAATGGACTGATCCTGCTGCTCCTGCTGCTCCTGCTGCTCCTGCTGCTCCTGCTGCTCCTGTTGCTCCTGCTGCTCCTGTTGCTCCTGCTGCTCCTGTTGCTCCTGCTGCTCCTGCTGCTCCTGCTGCTCCTGTTGCTCCTGTTGCTCCTGCTGCTCCTGCTGCTCCTGCTGCTCCTGCTGCTCCTGTTGCTCCTGCTGCTCCTGCTGCTCCTGCTGCTCCTGTTGCTCCTGTTGCTCCTGCTGCTCCTGCTGCTCCTGTTGCTCCTGTTGCTCCTGCTGCTCCTGTTGCTCCTGCTGCTCCTGCTGCTCCTGCTGCTCCTGCTGCTCCTGATGCTGATCTGATGCTGGGTTCCTGTTTCCAGGGCCGGCAGGAGGAAGAGCATGTCCAGCTTCCTGTTCCTGGCCGGCTGCGCCTGCCTCTGCACCACGCTCATCCCCGAGAACTCAGGTGAGGTTCTGGTGCAGGTGGTTACGGCTCGGACCTCCTCAGGTCTGATGATGATGATGATGATGATGAAGTTCAGTGATTGAGGAAGTGGATCTGAGGTCCTTGATTTTGGTTCCTCTTTAGAAATTATTTAGAAACTTCCTGTCAGATTTTTAATAACCAGACGTTCGTTTAGTTTCCGTCAGCGCTTCATGATCTTCCTCTCTTACTGTTTCCTTGGTGCTTCTTCTTTCTTTCTTTCTCCTTTATTCCTTCCTTCTGTTTTATTCCTTCCTTCTTGCCTTAATGTTACATTTATCAGTAATAAATTGGTAAACATACTTGTGTGATTTTATTTGATGAAATGTCGTGTTCATTGCTTGTTGATAACTGGGGACAGTTGTTTCGATGTGAACTCTTTGACCTGCCTTGTTGCTGAAATGTGACACACTAATAAACTTGACTCCTTCTTTCCTTCCTCTCTTGCGTCCTTCCTTCCTCCTCTCAGGGTCTCTGCTGAGCATCACGTCTCTGGCTCTGCTGGGGAAGCTGATGGTCAGCGCTGCGTTCAACATCGCCTACGTTTACACCTCAGAGCTCTACCCGACTGTGATCAGGTGACCTGGAGCCGTTCGGCCACACCTGGGCTGGGTTTGGAAGGGGTCAGAGGTTAAATGAGCCGTTTGTGCTGCAGGAACGCCGGGCTGGGAGTGTGCTCCATGTCCTGCCGAGTCGGAGGAATCCTGGCGCCGTTTGTTCCCTCCATGGTGAGTTCAGGGAAAGCGAAGCTGATGTTTGATCCGGTTCTACTGCAGATCGTCTGCTTTTAGTTTCAGAATTTTGTTTTTCTAAGTCTAGAGAAAACCACTGAAGTGTTTCTTTCTCATTGGTTTCTGTCATGCTTTCTGCTTCTCTGCACTGAAACTCCCAGTATAACAGTGTCAGGCTTTATACTGTAAGAGCTGGAAAGTGAGAAAACCCAGAACTCTTTGGACCTTCGTAGTAGAACCAGGATGTTGGACCGGGCCTAGCAGCCATTTTGAATATTTCCTGCAGCATGTCAGATTGGATTTATCATTGAAATGCTGCAGAGGCTGCCGGAGCCGTGCTTCCAGGGGTCAGAGGTCATAGAGTCTGGAAACTTTCTTCTTTCTCTGCATCTCTGCCTCTTTGTGTGTCTCTGTAATAAATGCGACTGCTGGGATGTTTCCCAGCGTTTCCTGATGAAGCAGCAGCTTAATCATCAGTTTCCATGTCATCACCGGTTTCCTGTGACTTTGGAGTTCAGGGGAAAGATGATGATTTAATGACTCAACACCATCACAACGCTGCTATTGTTAGCATGCTAACAGCCACGGACATGGCTGACTGCTTGTTTGAGTTACTTAAATAACTGAACCGGATCTGACCTCCAACAGCCGATGTTTCCTTTAAGAAGCTGCTGCCTTCAGTAAATCAGCTCTAATTAGAAACAGTAGCAATGCTAATGCTATAGTTCCACTTTCATAACGTCCCTAAAATGGACCAGAGGAAGTTAGAAACTGTTTAAGGTCACGATGAAGCAGAGCTGAGCTTCCAGAAATGCAGTCGAGTATTTAACTTTTTTACAATCAGTGTTCAGATCCTTCACTGGGCTCCATGTTGAAGGTTCCCAGTTACTTTCAGATCATTTCCTCTGCTAACTGGCAGCATGTAGAGACCTGAACCCAGTCAGGTTTGACTCTCGTTCCCTCACTGGTTTTAAAGGAGAGGAGTGTTTGAGACGACGCTCTGCGTGTTGTTCGGTGCATTCTCTGCATTCCTTCAGCAGGTCTGCATTCTGATTTAGTAGAAGAGTTCAGAACGTCCTCCTCCTTCCCGTCCGCTTCAGGGCGTCGGTCGCTCTGCCGCCATCTGGATTCCATCAACTCGTTTCTTGACTCCTCTGTTGGCCTCTGATGGAGTCGGAGGACCGTCTTTCTGATCGGAAACATGGCTGAACGAGGACAGCGGCGTGGCTTGCACCAGATAGAAAGTGTTTGACTTTCTGCAGAGTCAGCAGGTGGAAGCTGCCTGAACAGGAATTTACGCTGCAGCTTCGCTCCTGTCTGATGATTCAAGCTGAAAACTGAACCACAGTAACGTTTCTAGTGTCACAAACTCCAGAGGAAGGAGGACCTCGTTACCATTGAGATGTTTATGTAAACACTCGACCACACCCTCCATCTGCAGCCGCTGCATTTGGCAACCTCAGAAATGCCTGAACATCTCATTAAACTGCTTCACTGTGGCTCAATGTTTGGTCTGAGGCGAGAAATCAGCAGCAAACTCCCCATTTCAAAAAAACCTCGGGACTTTCCAGCCCATTTGGACCCTTCAGCAGGGAGGTGTGAGCAGGTGGCGACCCCTAGTGGCGCTTCTGAGAACTGCAGATATAAACAGTTTTAGGAATCTGCAGTTTCAAAACTAAAAAATATATAAAGATTCAACTCTGAGGAACCAAGATGCAGCAATTTAGAATCAGTGAAGTGAAATCGAGCAAGTTTCTTGGACTGTTGTTAGAAATGACAGAAAGTCATGAAATCTAAAGTTTTTAGCTGCTACTGAACATCGTTGGAGACTCATTAAGTTTAAAGTGGTGTTTCTATTTTTGTTCCTCCGGTGTTGCTGTAGTTGACGTCTCTGTGTTTCAGCGCGCGCTCCACGCCTCCATGCCCTTCACGGTGTTCTGCCTGAGCGGTTTGTCTGCAGGCTGCCTGGGCCTCCTGCTGCCCGAGACCCTGAACAGACCTGCAGCCGACACTCTGGAGGAGCTGAGCGGCCCGAGCAGCAGCCGGGTTCTGGAGAACAAGGTGATGCTGCAGATCCAAAACCCTTCAAAACGCAAACATCTTCAGGGATCTGTTTAAATCATCACCAGATCGTTGAAAACAAAGGAAAATGAAAACTCATGCAAATGGAAATCAAGTTGATTTTAATTAGTCATGCAGTTAATTGATTTATTGCTTATTGCTTCGGACCTACTATTAACCACAGACCAGATCGTTTCCTCCTCAGATTAAACACCCAGATTTTTATCTCCAGTCTCTCGTTTCTGTCTGCAGGCTCTGCTATTCGAAGATGACAAACTGAAATCAAACCCCAAGTGAAGCTCTGGTCTTCGGTCCGGATGGAGCAGCTGCTTCAGAGCGGTGTACCGTCCCTTTAAGACGGAGAGTCTCCGGGTCGCCGCCTGCAGGGTTCTCCTCGGTTCCTCCTCAGGTTTTTCTCTCCTGGCTTCAGTCCAGATGTTGCTGCTGCTAGCAGGAAGTGCAGCACAACCTTTACATTCCTCTGGCCTCCGCTCTGCGTAAAGCCAGGTCAAAGTTCACTGAACCCAGAAGCTGAAGTTCAGCTGGGAAACGTGATCTGCTGGGAGCAGAGCTTCAATCTGAACCAGGACCAGGTCGTGGTTCTGGTCCGTTAGAGGAACTTTCTTCACTTTCAGTGAAAGCGATGATGTAACACGGTTTAATGGTGGATCAAGTGATGTTTAATATTCCATGAAGCGTTTTATATGAGTCAAGCTTCTACTGCCCCCTGGTGGCCAGTGCAGGTCAGGAAGCCGGACTGGACCGGACCGGACCATAGATTATTTTTAGAAGCAGAGATCATGTGGAGTCTCTGGCTGCCTCGGTTTCTCATAATCACACGCAGATCTAGAATCTGACCTGTTTACACACTGAAACGTGTTTCTGATCTGGGTTTTCACAGCTTTCCTGACTCCAGTTGATGTTTTTCTACCTGGAATCATTTTGAACTGCAGAACAAACTGTGGTTGGTGATAATTGTGCCTCTGATGTTTAGAGCCAGGCGCTGAAAAACACCAAATATCACCAAGGATTTCTGCCTGGTTTCTAACAAAACTAACATTTACAGCAAGATATTGTTTTTCAATTAAATTAGGAGTGAAATCCTCAGCTGGTGTAACTAGTTATTCCTGATCAATATTAAGATATTGATTCCTGAAATCAATCTCCTATATCACGTTGGAAAGTCACTTGAATCATATTTCAAGTGAACTAAGATATTAACAGAAGAACTAGACAGAAACACTTGGTAATATTTTGTATTTGCTGCGTTCATGTTTATCAAACATCCTGAAAACGACCAATGATAGATTGATTTACTTCCTGTTTACTTCCTGATATTCCATAAAACGTCATTTTCCCAGCCAGACATCAAGCCAACATCAGGTTTAGGGCTCAAACTCTCTGCGTTTTCCTACTGATTTAAACTGGAAATTGGAATAAAAACCTTTAATTTTTGATAAAAGCCTATAAAGTGGGATTCCTGGTTCATGTTTCAGCGTCTCTGATTCCCCCAGCTGAGAAAGTCTCTGCACTTTAAATCTGCACGTTTATGGGACCAACGCTAAATTTTTAAATTTAATTTAAAAGTTAATTTTGTTGTAAATTCTGATATATTTTGACATCCTGATGTTTTTCCAGTAAGGATGAATAAAGTGCTTAATTAATCATAGTTGATTATTGAATCATGAAGAAAATCACTGGAGAAGTGAAACCTGTAAAATGCGTCGTATTAATGTTCATTTTAATGGTAATTAAGGATTTTTAAAGGGATTAAAACACTACTACATTCCTGAAAGCCTTTCCTTTACTCTGTAATTACTGAGATGAATATAATGTTACTAAATGGATGTTTTTGTATCTTCTGGGATCTTTGGTTTAACTTTGAGTAAAAATATATATTTGTTGTTGTTTTTCTGTCTTTGTGGTTTAATGAGCAGAAAAATCTTCATGAGTGTAAAAATAGATCCTTTCTCTGCCTCAGATGAATTAACACTCATCTTAAACCTCTGAAGCACGGTAAGGCAGGTGTCATTCTACGGGAATCTGATCCAGAGGTTGGTTTGAAGTCAATGGGCCGAACCGGACCATCAACATGATGGATGAATTTTAACGGGTACCAGAAGTGGGTCGACTCCTGCCATCATCGATGTGAAGCAGATTAACGAGAAGACAAAAAGGTTTCGCAGTAAATGACAGACAGAGATACTGATGTTTATTCAGCCTGAAACAAAACTGTTTCCATTACAAATCTGGACAAATGATTTTCACAATTGCTGTTTCCATTAAAAATTGGAATTAAAATGATGACAATGAGTTAAAACAAACGACCAGCAAAAACTACAGGCAGCAGAAATGAAGATTTCTCTGGACGTTATTATCCAGATGAATGCAGGTTCTGAAAATGAAGCAACTCAGAATTTGAAAGTAGTTTGACAGGAAACAGGGTAATCAGAGAGGGGAAGACATGCAGCAAATGCCACCAGGCTGGGAATCAAACCTGCGACCACTGCCACCAGGACACAGATCTCAGTATGTGGGTCATGCTTTGCCACAGCTCCCATTTCTGGATGTTCTCCAGAACCACAGGATGCGTCCTGGATGCTGCATCATGTTTAGCTCCTCTGGTCTGGTTCCTTTGGGCCTCATTGATTAATCACCATCATTAAACTGTATAAATAGTTAGTCTGATTGGTTAATGAGATAACTGGACTGTTTAGTTCCTCTCTTACATTCATAGTGATTAAATCAAGTTTGGTGTTTAGAGCTGTGACGTTCTTCAGCTCTTAAATACCTCAATGAATTTATTTATTTTCAGTTGAGCAAATTAAACAAACTATTTTAAATGAGTTTAGCAATGCTCTGGTCTGAATATTTCCAAATCATCCAGTTTTTAAAATGTCTGATGGATGATTCTGATGTTTCTGGTCTTCATCCTTGAATTCATCTTCCTTTTTGCCTTCTTTGTATCGGGTTCATGTACTGTGTTGGATTGTTTCTCTATGACAGAGAGAAAGCTGCTCTTGTTTTTCCCAAGTGCAGCTGGAGCTACTATCAAGAAACTTTCCATCACTAGTGAAGGAGTGTGTGCATGAGTGAATGAATGTAGAGTGAAGCACCTTGAGGTCTTCTGGACTTGATGAAGCGCTATACATGTACAAGCCATTTCTCATGAACCATTTCTGATGCTGTTTTTCTTCTTTGGAGAATTTTTACTCTGACTCTCTTGGCCATTTCCTCCTGAAAACTCCTGGATGAACATTTCCTGATTTCCTAATTGTTCCTGGTTCCTCCACAGAGTGGACCAGCAGAGCTCAGAGGTTCCCAGTGGTCCGTCTGCCTGGCAGCATGACCCACAGCTGGACTCCATATTTATGGTCTGTACATGAACAACAACTTCTGTTAGGGTTAACACCTGTTAAACATACATTAACAAAGAGAAAAGACAAAAGAGTTTGATTCTTTTTCACTCGCGAGGAGAATGGACAGAGATGTGCTTCAGTTATAATCTCCTACCGCTCTGAAGCACATTCTGTCTGCTCCTCTATTTTATTGTTTTCAGGATCCCTAATCACAAGGACACTGCAGCTCTAGAGGGAGGGGGAACAACTCATCAAACAGCTACAGCGTCAAATGTTATTCACTAACTAACACACAATCATTCTGCACTAGATAATCTCCTTCCAGGCACAAAGATTAATAAAATATGTAGTGATCAATGATGGTTTTATTGGAGGCCAGCAACTCAACTGAAGCAGAGCTCTTCACCAAGAGGTAAACCTGCAGGAAGATTTTGTTTCTGCTCTCTGTCAGTGAGGCCTTCTGAGAAAGGAATCAGAGTAAATCAACAATACAAGGAACATTCTTAATTCTATAATGAGATTAACTTAAAGGAAAGCATAAAATAAATATACATTATAAAGATCAATGACAATAACAAATAATTGATTAATAATATCACAATTTCTCCAACAACTTCTCCATGGGTTCTGGTCACAGTCGTCTCCTTCCTGCGTTTTATAGACTAGTGATCTGTCTGTCTGTCCAACATGGATCTGATGTTTGGCTCCATGATTTCAGTCTGATGTGTCCTTCATATATTATTCTGTTCCAGCTGCTGGAGAAAAACATTGTCACATTTCTGAAGAAAGAGCTGAAGAAGATCCAGAAGGTTCTGAGTCCAGATGACCCAGAATGTGCAGAGAGTCAGAGAGATGATGAGGAGGAGTTGGAAGGTGAGGATGAAGAGCAGAGGATGAGCAGCAGAGAGGCAGTGATGAAGATCATATTGAACTTCCTGAGGAGGATGAAGCAGGAGGAGCTGGCTGACCGTCTGCAGACCAGTAAGAGGATTTCTACAAAGATTTATCCTGATGGATAAATCACACATTAACTGAAGTTTATTAATCACAATCAATCTTCAGAAGGTGATTTTCTTTCCTTCCTGATTTTACTTTTTGTGTTCATTTAGAACAGTTTCCTGCAGTTGGTCAACATGAACTTAAATCTGGTCTGAAGAAGAAGTTCCAGTGTGTGTTTGAGGGAATCAGTAAAGCAGGAAGTCCAACCCTTCTGAACCAGATCTACACAGAGCTCTACATCACAGAGGGAGGGACTGGAGAGGTCAATGATGAACATGAGGTCAGACAGATTGAAACAGCATCCAGGAAACAACACAGACCAGAAACAACAATCAGACAAGAAGACATCTTTAAAGTCCCACCTGGAAGAGATCAACCAATCAGAACAGTGATGACAAAGGGAGTGGCTGGCATTGGGAAAACAGTCTTAACACAGAAGTTCACTCTGGACTGGGCTGAAGGCAAAGCCCACCAGAACATCCAGTTCATATTTCCATTCACATTCAGAGAGCTGAATCTGCTGAAAGAGAAAAAGTTCAGCTTGGTGGAACTGATTCATCACTTCTTTAATGAAACCAAAGAAATCTGCAGCTTTGAACACTTCCAGGTTCTGTTCATCTTTGATGGCTTGGATGAGAGTCGACTTCCACTGGACTTCCACAACAAGGAGATCCTGACTGATGCTACAGAGTCCAGCTCAGTGGATGTTCTGCTGACAAACCTCATCAGGGGGAAACTGCTTCCCTCTGCTCTCCTCTGGATAACCACACGACCTGCAGCAGCCAATCAGATCCCTGCTCAGTGTGTTGACATGGTGACAGAGGTCAGAGGGTTCACTGACCCTCAGAAGGAGGAGTACTTCAGGAAGAGATTCAGAGAGAAGAAAGAGGCCAGCAGGATCATCTCCACATGAAGACATCACGAAGCCTCCACATCATGTGCCACATCCCAGTCTTCTGCTGGATCACTGCTACAGTTCTGGAGGATGTGATGGAGGCCAGAGAGGGAGGAGAGCTGCCCAGAACCCTGACTGAGATGTACATCCACTTCCTGGTGGTTCAGACCAAAGTGAAGACAGTCAAGTATGATGGAGGAGCTGAAACAGATCCACACTGGAGTCCAGAGAGCAGGAAGATGATCAAGTCTCTGGGAAAACTGGCTTTTGATCAGCTGCAGAAAGGAAACCTGATCTTCTATGAATCAGACCTGACAGAGTGTGGCATCAATATCAGAGCAGCCTCAGTGTACTCAGGAGTGTTCACACAGATCTTTAGAGAGGAGAGAGGTCTGTACCAGGACAAGGTGTTCTGCTTCATCCATCTGAGTGTTCAGGAGTTTCTGGCTGCTCTTCATGTTCACCTGACCTTCATTAAGTCTGGGGTCAACCTGATGGAAGAAAAACAATCAGCTGTCCCTACATTGTTCCACAAATCAAAAATAATATCTCTACACCAGAATGCTGTCGACCAGGCCTTACAGAGTCCAAATGGACACCTGGATTTGTACCTCCGTTTCCTCCTGGGACTCTCACTGCAGACCAATCAGAGACTCCTGCAAGGTCTGCTGGGACAGACAGGAAGTAGCTCTCAGTCCAATCAGAAAACAGTTCATTATATCAAGGAGCAGATCAGTGAAAATGTGTCTGCAGAGAAAAGCATCAATCTGTTCCACTGTCTGAATGAACTGAATGATCGTTCTCTAGTGGAGGAGATCCAACAGTCTCTGAGTTCAGGAAGTCTCTCCACAGACAAACTGTCTCCTGCTCAGTGGTCAGCTCTGGGGTTCATCTTGGTGTCATCAGGAGAAGATCTGGAGAAATACTCAGCTTCAGAGGATGTTCTTCTGAAGCTGCTGCCAGTGGTTAAAGTCTCCAACAAAGCTCTGTAAGGTCACATTATTACTGAATGTAGTTTTAGTAGAGAAAAATTCACATTTTTTCATCAGTTCTTTACTAGCAGATTTTTCTCTCTGTCTCCTCAGACTGAGTGGCTGTAACCTCTCAAAGAGAAGCTGTGCAGCTCTGTCCTCAGTTCTCAGCTCCCAGTCATCCAGTCTCACAGAACTGGACCTGAGTAACAACAAGCTGCAGGATTCAGGACTGAAGCTTCTCTCTGCTGGACTGGAGAGTCCAAACTGCAACCTGGAAACTCTGAGGTACAATCTTAGAGTTCTCAATCCTGGTGAAGTGAAATTTCTGTCCATTAGGGTTTAGTTGATTAGGGATCACAGATGAGAAATTTAGAATCCATGATCAGCTCTGTGTTATCATGTGTTGATTTGTGTGTCTGCAGATTGTCAGGCTGCTTGATCTCAGAGGAAGGCTGTGCTTCTTTGGCCTCAGCTCTGACCTTTAACCCCTCCCATCTGAAAGAGTTGGACCTGAGCTACAATCATCCAGGAGACTCAGGAGTGAAGCTGCTGTCGGCTGGACTGAAAGATCCACATTGGAGACTGGAAGCTCTCAGGTATGGAGGATAGAGAGTTACCAGGGAACAGTTCCCAACACATCAGTCTTTAAGGTCTGTTCTCTGAGCTGCAGGGAGACAGTGGAGGGACTGGAGAATGTCTCTCATGTCTCCAACTTCCTGGTTTTAGTCAGAACTGCAGCAGCAGCTGCAGCAGCATCTGGATCAGCTGCAGCTGCAGGTTTAGTTTCAGACCTTTGAAGATGCTGTTGCAGTGATCAATGCAGCAGTTGAGTTTCTCTGGATCTTAGTCTTCTAGAAATGTTCTGTTGGAGGATGGAGGCCGACTTCACTGTCTTATGTGGCTCTGAAGGTTAAGGTCAGAGGTCATCACTACTCCCAGACGTCTGATGTCTAGTTTCCAGCTGTAGCAACTCGAGATCTATATCTATATCTCTAGATCTATAGCTGTAGATAACTGTGTGTGTATGTGTGTGTGTGTGTCTGTGTGTGTATATATATATATATGTGTGTGTGTGTGTGTCTGTATATATATATGTGTGTGTGTGTGTGTGTGTATATATGTGTGTGTGTGTGTGTGTGTGTGTGTGTGTGTATATATATGTGTGTGTGTGTGTGTGTATATATGTGTGTGTGTGTGTGTGTGTGTGTGTGTGTGTGTATATATATGTGTGTGTGTGTGTGTCTGTGTGTGTATATATATATGTGTGTGTGTGTGTGTGTGTGTGTGTATATATATATGTGTGTGTGTGTGTGTGTGTCTGTGTGTGTATATATATATATGTGTGTGTGTGTGTGTGTGTGTGTGTGTGTGTGTGTGTGTGTGTGTATATATATATGTGTGTGTGTGTGTGTGTGTATATATATATATATATATATATATGTGTGTGTGTGTGTGTGTGTGTGTATATATATGTGTGTGGTGTGTGTGTGTGTGTATATATATATATGTGTGTGTGTGTGTAATGTCCATGTTTGCTGACCTCTGACCCCCGTCCTCCTTTCAGGGTGGAGCCTGCTGGAGGCCGATTCTTGACACCAGGGCTGAGGAAATGTAAGTGTGTTTTTCATCTGATTCATAATAACAACCATCTTCACAGAGTCACATCACTCATTCAGGAGTCATCAAAGATCAATAAATGATCAATAACTGCAGCTGGATTGTGTTTCTTCTCTCCATCAGATTCCTGTCAACTCACCATTGATAAAAACACAGTGAACAGAAACCTGAAACTATCTCAAGATAACAGGAAGGTGACACATGTGGATGAGCTCCAGCCATATCCTGATCATCCAGACAGATTTGATTACAGGCATCCTCAGCTGCTCTGTGGAACTGGTCTGACTGGTCGCTGTTACTGGGAGGTTGAGTGGAGAGGAGGAGTTGAGATCTCAGTGAGTTACAGAGGAATCAGGAATAAAGGAGACAGTAGAGCCTGTTGGTTTGGAAGGAATGACCAGTCCTGGAGTCTGGTTTGCTCTGGTGATAAAGATTACTCTGTTTATCACAATAACAGACGGATACCTATCCCCTCCTCCTCTGTCTCTCACAGAGTTGGAGTGTATGTGGATCATCCTGCTGGGATTCTGTCCTTCTACCAAGTTTCCTCCGACTCACTGATCCACCTGCACACTTTTAAAACCACATTCACTGAACCTCTCTATGCTGGGTTTGGGCTCTGGCTCTCTGGTTCCTCTTCAGTGTCTCTGTGCCGAGTTGAGTCTAAAGAGTCTAAATATTTTCCTCCTGTCAGAGAAACTCTCTCTCTGTTGAACAGATAGTTCAGTCTCTACTTGTCTCTACATTTTCAGATTCATGGATTCAGTTTGTTTCTGATGGAAACTCTAAATCATTCCTTAAAAACTTTTTCCTCTTCCAGATGGGAGCTGAGATTATTCCAGGATTATTCCAGGATTATTCCAGGATTCTCATGATTTTTCTATTTCCAGTCAAACCTTCACACTGAATATCAAGATGTTGTCATTTTCTCTTGTGTTTTTTTGTCTTTTCAACATTTTAGTAAAATCACAGAGAATGTTGATCAGTTTTTCTCAACCACTGGAAATAATCTCTTGTTTTACTAAATGCATCATATAAACTCATTTAACATCCAAAAATGAGGGTAATTTTATTTGTCTGAAGAAAACATCAACATTTACTTTATTTTTATGGCTGAAGTGTCAAAATGTTACATTATTGCTTTCACTGATATCTGCAATCCTGTGGATCTCTTATTAGTCTTATGGGTCTGTTTAAATGCGTGGACATTAATTGTTTTAAAAATAATTAGTGTCATGAAGACTGAAGCTGGTTTGTCATCACTGCAGGGGGTCGTGGAAGGACAGCTGTTATAATGAAATGAGAGACTGTCCAAGTCCAGAATTGACTTTAATTAACTATTGAAGTTCCAACATACACAGAAATAAGCGCATGTGTTTTCTATAAAGATAAATAAATACAAATTCTAAGTACTCGTCTGTAAATTCTTCTTTCACAAAAACAACTACCAAGGGAATAAATGTGCTTAAAGCCAGCAGCTGATTAATACTGACTATGAGAATGTAAATCATTGCATGTAAATAATAATCAATAATATTATTATCAGAATATTATTTGACAAAACATAAAAGAAAATGGCATTTCAATTAGAAATTGATAACAGCTGCATCCAGTTACTTGAAACCAGGTACCTAAACTAAAGCTAACCGGCTAGCTTCTTTAGCAGTTAGCTCCTTTAGCAGTTAGCTTCTTTAGCGGTTAGCTCATCATACAAATAATGATACCAAACCACCAAAATATTCTACAAACACTTTAAGAAACTGAACTAGAGGGAGAGCGGACCTCTGCAGAATCTTCTCTTTCTTCCACTCTGCAGTTTCATTCCTGAGGTTCTGGGTGTTGTGATGAGATCTGTGGCTCTCCTGGTTCTGTCTGGTATCGCTGTTTGGTTTTTTGGCAGAACTGGAACACCATGTGTAGGTGCAGAACCAAAGAGGATGACCAAGCTTAGCTTTACTTCAGGAATGTTTGAGCTCTGCTTAAGAGGAGGGAAACTTAGATCAGTCATATAATGAAACTTTGCTTTAAAAATGATAAATAATTGTATGAAACTGTTTGTATTCTGGAGAAATATTTCTGCAGCTGTTTATGTATTCAAGCTCCAAATCAGCCTCTTCATTTTGTACTCGTGGTGATATTATTAAAAACAGGAAGCTTATGGTTTATGTTTCCTGTCTGATTTGTGTTCTTTTAAAAGGTCTTATAACAGAACCTTCTCCCATTCTCTTTACAAAGTTCTGCATTTTCATGAATCTTCTTTTTGAGAAAGCAGGTCGAAGGCTTGAGAATGATTTGTGTTTCAAATCTGTTTTTTGGTTCAATTCATTAGAATGTTGTTGAAAAGTTCATTTTAACATCTCTACAGACTCCACACATCCTGGACACAAATGGTTTATATTCAGAGCGCCATTCACTAAGACCGGCTTTGAACCTGCACATATAACAGTCTCACTGTGTTCCTTGGTCTCCATGATGCCGTTTGGTCACTGATGTTCTCTACTTAACCAGAATATTGACTTCTGAAGGCAACTAGACTGTATTTGAGTTATCAAAATAAAGGTATGATATGCACAACACTTTTTAAAGTTTCCAATAAGAGAAGGTTGAATCATTTCTGCTGCTTCCCAACTTTGTACCACAAAAAAAACCCCATGAATACATAGAATTTAGACATTTATGAATACTTTTGCAACCATTATTAAGTTTAACCACTTAATAATGGTTCATACGTTTAACATGCATGATAATTTGTATGTATTTTTAAATATTGTAGTTGAATATTTTCTTATGAAAGAAGCTAAACATTTCTGTCTGATTCACAGCGTACTTCTGCTGTAGTTTCACACAGTGACCAGCAGAGGGAGACACTTGCACAGTGATCTCCAGAGGAAGGCAGTTACACAGAGCGAACAGCGGGTGTCGCTGTGAGCTTATTTGGGTCAGATTGACGTCATTGTTGGGGAATGTTAAAGATGGCGCTGGGCGGTCAGAGGAATGTTGCCGCAGCAACAAGCTGAAGGGATTTAATTAATCTTCCAGCCGGCGAGTTCCTGTTCCCTCCACGGACTGAATACTTCAGGTTCTGAAGCCAACATGAGCCCGGCAGACCCGGTCAGAGCCCGGTAACCGTGTGGTGTCCCTCCCGTTAAGATGGTAGCCGGATCCTCGGAGAACAACAGAAGCTGCTGCGGAGTTCGGCCCACCGAGCCGGAGGATCTTACGGCCGGAGCCGAGGCGTCTGTGGCGGACTGAGCGGGTCATGGAGACGCAGAAGGACAACGGAGGCTCGGTTCTGTGGATGTGAACGAAAACGAAGATGAACCGGTGGGTGTGGAGGAGAAACCGGGTCCCCGGACCCTGAAGGAGCGCAGCCTGCTGGCCGGGGTCAGCGGGGGTCAGGCGGCGGGCTGGACCCGGGATCCGGTGGATTTCAACGGGAGGAACGCAGCCAGACACCCGGAGATCATGCTGGTCGCTGCGGAGGACGGGTACCGGTCCGGCCCGGTGGTGCTGGGCGGTGTGAACGGGTTCTCCCTGGAAGCGAGAGGTCCAGCTGCGCTCCAGGAGGATGGAGACGCTTCTCCCCCACGGGACCAGCGCTCCTGTCCGGGGAGGCCGAACCGGACCCCCGCGGGGGTCAACCTGTCCAACGGGGTGGCCGGCAGAGCGGAGGCGGCGGTCCGGGGTCTGGGTCAGAACCTGGGTCAGAACCCGGGTCAGAACCCGGGTCAGAACCCGGGTCAGTGTGATCTGAGCCGGGAGGAGCTGAAAGTAGCTAACGGTGGTTTGCACATGATTGGCCCCGGTTCTGAGTGGCCCGGTTCCGATTACTTCCCTGTAAACAGACACTCTGACCCGGGCTGTTGGCAGCGCCGCGACCCCAGATCCGGCCCACCATCCACCCCGGAACCGAGCCCCGGCCCCGCGTCGCCCTGCCCGTCCAGCCCGCCGTCCGAGCCCAACACCCGGCAGGAGGACGAGGAGCCGCTCGGTGACCCGGATGTTCCCGCCAGGCCGCGGAGTCTGCGGACCAACCCCGCAGCCAGCGTGTCCCGCAGCTGTGACGCCACCCCGCTGACCCCTGATGAGGACGGGGGGTTCAACTTTGACCCCGAGGCGGGCCGGAGGCAGAGCGCTCCGGACAAGCTGAGTGAGGAGACCGGAGGTTCGGAGCTCAAAGTGATGCCCAAAAGGTTCGGCATCGCGGACTTCTTCACCAGGTAGAGGTCTGGGTTTAACCTTTAACCCCTGCAGGAACCAGGTTCCCAGTCGCACTAGATCATTTGTAACAGACAACCTGAAGGCAGCCAACGGAGCAGTCTGGTGTTCCAGAACCTCAGCAGAACCATGCCACGCTGCACTGATGCAGGAATTCCTGCAACAGGAGCCCAGACCCGGTTCTGATTGCAGAGTCTGGACCCCTGGTTCTGATCATCAGACCCACCTGGATAAAATCCAGATCCAGTCTGAGTGAAAAGGCTGCTGGTCCTTCAGAACCTTTGTTGTTGTTTAGAAGAAGTTCAGCTGGTTCTGGTTCTGATCGGTCCAATGTTGCTCTAACATCAGCTGTTACTATCATCTATCTTTGGCATCAGGATTCATTTTCAAGAAATAAGTTTCTACATCAGAACCGCTGTGTCTGCTGCAGAACCGACCCAGAGTTCCCTCTGCTCCAGAGCTCAGCTGCTGCAGGTTTTATTTATGTGACATATTAAATTTATTCAGTGGGAAAACTGGACGGTCATCATAACAAGTTCTACTGGACGATTTCTAATAAAATAACTTTTTGAAATAAATGATAATATTTTTGATTTTAGATCATTTTCAGTAATAAATGCATAAAAATGCAAAATTATAATAAGCATTTAACTCTGGAACTGGAAGACATTTTAAAATAAATAAAACAACCAAAAACAATAAATACAATAGATCATAAACTCTAAAAACTAATTTCCCTTAAATTAATAATCAGAGAGGAAATAATCAATCAATAATCATTTGGACCAGAACTTTCTGATTTGATCAGAGCAGAACCGTCTGCTCTGCTCCGGGTCCGATCACATGTTCTCTGCTCCTCAGCAGCTCACAGTCATCGGATCATGAAGACCAGAACCGACCTGACCCGTTTAAAAGCCTTCCTCTGAGCTTCAGTACCGCCTGGTTCTGTCAGAACAATCCGGTCCAGACAGTGGGCGGTTCTGTCTGGAGTTCAGTACCTGCTTGTTCTGCTCATGATTGATCCAAAACGCTGGTCGAATTCAGAACCGCCAGTTTGGACTGAAGTGAAAGGAAGAACCATAAAAATCATTTTATGAGTTTTTTCAGTTTCGTCTGAAATGTTTTATTTTCATGTTGATTCGTCCAGAACCAGAACCAGAACCAGCTTCAGTTATTCAGAGGACTGGAGGTTCGGAGCAGCTGGGAGCTCCAGAACCAGATGGTTCTGCAGACCGGGACCGGCAGGTTTGGAGTTAAATCTCCATATGCCGGAGCAGTGCTGCTGGTTTGGACCCGGTCCAGAGCAGCTGGCTGGACACAGAGCCGCAGGAAATCCAGGCAGACAGAGGAATGAAGGCTCAGGAGCCCCGGTTCTGATCCGACTAACACTCAGCAGCATTTGGGTTTGAGCTTGGTGGAGCTGGTTCTGTTGGTGTCCAGTTAAACCAGTTGTGGTTCTGAGTGGGACCAGCTGTCCTTCCACTCAGTAACAACTGACTCAGGGAGTCAAACTTCCTGTTTCTGGTCCGGTTCTGTTTCACTTGTTGCATCACAGCCACATGTGGAACAATGGAGAGGAAGACTTGGTTCTGTTTGGGCCCGGTTCAGCCCAGTTGACGCGACACTGGCTTCACTCTGAAACAGATGCTGCGGGAGTCTAGTTAAAGTACAGAAGGGTTCATGTTGGTTTCTGTCGGGCTCTGGGTGTCCAAAGCGAGGTTCGAGGGCCGTTTGTGGCCCTCAGGTTGGTTTTGTGTGGACTCTCACTGCAGTTCTGCAACGGCACAAATTTGGACACATTCTGTCATATTTCAGACGAGTTGATTTCTTCTTAAATGGGAACAAAAAGTATCTTCTTAGCCTTTTTATGTTTTTATTTTGATTTCATAATAATAAGTTGCATCACAAACGTCTGGCAAGTTTTTACTCAAAAACAGACGTTAGTCACATCCATCCATTATACTGAGCTAAATACAGCAGAGTTTGTAGAAGAATATTCTCACTTTCTTTTCTGACAATAATGTAAAGCATTTTATAGACTTAAAAATAATAAGCTCCCAAAAGATAAATGATTGTGAAAGTTATGACAGACATGAAATATTACATGATTTATTTATTGTTGTTCAGGTAAAATATGCCCTGAATACTTTGAACTTGGGGATTTTGGTCTTAAAGTTTCCTCCTAGCATAGCAGTGAATGGAAGCAGCTAAAAATCCCACACTTTGACACTAACTGGTCAGTTTTGGTTCCTTTTCCCATTGGATCTGGTCTGTTCGGCTTATTGATACGATGTTCTGCATCTGTTGGACAAAGCATCTTTGTTTACAACGTCAGCTAATGCTAACTCTTTGTTAGCGCACCTGAACCAGCTCGGGAAGCGGTTCAAACTGACCACAGGTCATGTGAACGCTTGGAAATCACCAACAGATTTCTGTTAGTTTAATAAGTATCAGCTGAATTCTTGATACTTATTGATAAAATAAAAACTTCTGGACTCTTTGTTTCCTGAAGTTGTTTCTCCACCAATCGCTCTAATTGGTTCATTTGGGTCACATGACTCCCTCAGTTCAGCCTCTGGGTCGTCGCCTCCTGAGACCCAGACAGATGCCGACTGACTCCAACGTGTTGGGGTCACGTCTACAGGTCAACCTGGTCCAGATCCACCTGGGGACGCAGTCCAGCTGTCGGTGTCAGAAAGGTGAAACCAGAATCAGCTGCTCGCTCTGAAACGTCTGAAACGTCTGAAACGTCTGACTGCTGAACTTTGTGGTGAGCAGAAACTGTTTCCATGGAGGCGTTGAGTGTCGTTCTTCATAAATCCTCCTGGTTTCTCCTCTTCATGCCTCCTGTCAGCTGATCAGGACTTTTCCACTGAGGAGAATGTAAAAGTGTTGATCTCACTGCTTTTTCACGGGCTTTTTCCTCTAAAGTCGTTAACATCAGCGCAGAAACTGCTGCTGCTGCACAAATGGCCCAGAGTTTGTAACCGCAGTCGTTGCTTCACTGCTGTTTCAGGGAACCGAAACGATTTTCTCTAGTTTGGTTCAGTCCCACATCAACAGTGATGATTCCTCTCTTCATAAACAGATTGACATGTTGAATATAGAAAAGGGTCATTTTTACATCATTCAGAAGAAGGTTCTGTGTAAAACTAATGGAAACAATTAGAGATCTAAACAAAGATCAAAGATCAGATATTTCCTCTAGTGGAGTTTGTTCTGCTGTTCATCAGTTCAACACTTTGACTGAAATCTTCTTGTTTTCCATTAAATCAGCTGCATGTGACTCAAAACACTAAAACATTTTAATGTTTGTTCAAAAGAGAAAATTTAACAAAAAATAAA